TCTAGCAGATGAGGGCTACATCCTCTTCTCCAAAATGGATGTGGCAGTAAGGATGGTGGCCATATCAGGTGTGGGATGCCTCCTCTTATTAAAATTATCTACAAGTCAAGAAAGAACGAGGTCAGAAAAATCCCATCAAAAGAGGCCAAGAAATAAAAAGTATGAAGACATCTTACCCCTCATCGCCATTAGGCTAAAATCTTCGAAGAAGCGGCTTGATTGGATCAAATGGCCGAAGTCTCGTAACTCCAATAATTTTTTGTAAAATTCAGTAAGTGTATCCCAATCAAACTCAGTGAACTCAAACCGTTTGACCGACGTTGCAAATTAGATAGAAAAAATGTAAGTATCATACATCGTCTGTTCAACAATCATAAAAGAAAAAAATTCACTCAGGAGCGTCAGAGTATGAGGTCGGGACTTTAACATGTGGAACGAGGTCACCCTCACACTCCTGCCATTTCTCCCATACCCAAAACCAGGTCTCCTCCACCCTTTAATGGATGAAGGTAGTCCTACGACACATGGGAAGTGTGACCCCTAGGGACACAGTGAATACCACCCCCATGGAGTCCCCTTTTCCTAAGGATCGAGGTTGGTATATTGTTTGAAAGATATACAGTGGCATGTCCTCACCCAAGGAAGCCTCCTTCCAAAGGAAGTAGGAACCTACCAGTTGGGTCCAGGCATTAGGAACGAGCTGGGTAGGAGCCAGGTCGTATAACCTAAGGAGAGCCCTAAAGAAAGGATAGATTGATAGGCGAAGCTCAGCTTTCAGTAAATACTTGCTAACGGAGACACGACCTTGCCTAGGATGCCAGGCTCACTCGTTAGGAAAAGGGGAAAGGAGTTCTATATCATAAGGGATCCTATATTTTTCCTTAAGGTTGGCTAAGTAGGTGGGGTCTACAGAAGATAGAATTTTAGCTGCCCCCCAGGCTATATCATCATCCCCGTCACCACCCCAGATATTGAATAGATATTGAAGCACATTACCCTGCCTCAACGGCTCGGGCAAGGTCGGCTGTGTTTGTAATTCGGAACCCCATCTCACTGGCTAATTCACTAAGATCTACTTTTGAATGTGATGAAGCCATTGATTCACAAGTTTGTATGAATTTTCACAAAGTTGAAAAAGAAAAAAATGCAATACTTACGAGTTTCTCAGGAATAACGAAGGAAGAAGAACACTGGAATTCGTAGAAATCACAAAAGGAAACGAAGAAACTCAGAGAAAAAGAGAATGCTTGGAAGAATTTCACAAGGAAAAGCTCAAAGAGTTCTCAGAAAGACTTTAAGATTTCGAAAAATTTGAAAAAAAGATAGACGAAGATTCGTGCAAAAGTGAAAAGAAATTCTCCTAAGTGTTTTTCCTTTTATAGGCAGATCTACTCAATCCCAGCCATTGGATCTTGATCCGAACCATCCAACAGTCCACCTTGAAGTTTTAGTCTGAACCACTAACCACATCTGACGCTTCATCTTCTACGGCCCAGATTAAAATGTTGAGGCCAAGTGCCTTCTTGTGTATAAAGTTCGTAACGAAGTGGGAGACATCCATCATTGCACATTTAAAAATGGCGACGATTGCGTGTATGGGAGATGAACCGCTTCAGCTGTCTTTTCTTGGAAACACACCATGACATCAAATCGTTGAGGCGTCGTAATTGAGGACGCCTCATGTTTCTTAAAGGCATAAAAATGCATCGTAATTATCATAACTGAAGCCCTACGAGGCTCTGACCCTCTTCACCTCAACCATGTCGTTTAGAGCCTCGGTAATGTAAAGGGCACTTTAGAACATACAACTTTGGATTCTCTCCACTTCAGCAAACATTCCCAAGATTGTTCAAAGGATACAAAATTATCAACCACTTTGGGTAACACCTATTTTTGGTCTGCACAGGTCAGGTGTATTTTAAAATTCTAACCATAATATGAATGATTATAATTAGACTTAGGGGACTATTGTGGTATGGCAAAAAAGCCACCCCCTACAAATTTTTTATTTTTATTAAGTCCATGCATTGCATAAATAATTATGTCTAAACTTAGGGGACTATTGTTACTCCTCGCCTCCGAGGCTCAGAGTGATAATGCCACGTAGCAAGCCACGTTAGCAGAATGTCAACAAGAAATTTAAACAGAGACCTATGAGGTCAAAACACGAAGAAAGCAAACAAGGTCGAAGTCCTCACATTGCAATCCGAAGTCTTTACACTGTAGGATGAAGTCCAGGCTGAGGCATTTCCTCGAAGACGAAGCTGCCTAAGGGAACAAAGAAATGAGTTGAGGCTCTCCACTTAGAGAACTACTTCGAAGGTTCCTCCGAGACCCCCAAATTTGCCCGAATCTCGCAAGCCGATGATGTTCCCTGTAAAAAATTCGAAGATCTCTCTGAAGTGATTGATGTAATACTTATAATGTCAGTATGTCAGCCTATTTTATAGAGCGGCTGATCCCTTATCAATGTATTAATTGTATAGATAGACAGTGATGTGACGTCCCAATTAAGGAGATAAAGCTACGTGGTTCTGATCCAACGATCACCACTTCGGGCAAGGTAGTATAAATAGGTTCTCTTTGTAACTTAAGAGGGGGTTATCTGACAGGAAAAAATGATTGATTGGAAGACAAACAACAACGCATATGTGAAACGCATACTTGAACTTTGAAAGGAAATATGCAAACACTTGAGCTTATTTTCTATCTCCTTTTTTGATATGTTTATGAGTTGTAAATTTTTGTACACGACGTAGCAATTTCAATATACATCTTTCCATATATTCCCGTGAGTGACTACATAGATTAGTTGGATTTCAATCGGGGGATCATTGTTAGCGTGATTGCTCGTGTTCCAACCGCTGGAGTTCGAACATTTTTGTGTCTCGCCACAAAGTACCTCTCACATTCATCTCCTCTTTGCTACCGTCATCATCCCTGTAAGAACACCCCAGAATTGTACTTGACTTGACGCGAATGGGCCCGACATCTGTTGGCTCGTTTTCAGAGGTCAACAATTTCAATTTTTACTACACAAGTCCTATTTAATAGATTAATCGTAACTTTATACATACTTTAGAAATTTTCAACAAAACGATAAGTCTCAAAATCATAATTACAAAATGTAGATAGTACCGCAGCTTCAATCTTACCTCTCTTTATCGGACAAAGTCATTTTTTTAACTTCTGTATAGATAAAATTATTTAAAAACTTGAAACTAATGTCAAACAAAAACATAGAACACTGCTATTTAGTGAATGAATTTTTTATCATGATCACAACCCTCTTCAAGTTTTAGTTTGACCTCGAGACAATTTTGATGTTTCAAGTCAAACTCGTGGGTTTGAAAGGTGGATTAGGACTTTGATCTAATGTTATTTTTATACAAATTCTAGATCGTTAAAAACAGTCAAGTAAAAAGTTGCAAATTTTGGAAAAATGGAGTTTTTAGGCTCGGATTGCCCATTAAGTAGTAATCAGCGAAAAACAAATCAGTTATACAACCCGGTCTCCTGTTCTGCTTCATTCATTCTGCCTTTTCATAATCGTTCAATTGAAACATTTGAGTAACCCTTCGTATTGTATTTTATTTTATGTTTATTGTCTTTATTGTGTCAATAAAATATTGTTTCTCGTGATTTAGTCGGCTAGAGTTCCAAGCCATACTTTGATTGTTATTCTTTTATTCCCTCAGCTGTTTGCTGAATATTTGAGTAAGAACACTTAGTATAGTGAAATTAATTATTAATATCATAACATACATAATAAATATTTATCTAAGACAGTATATTCCACATAGTTATTTTAACAGAAAAATTAATAAAAAAATCAAATCTCTTGAAATTAGAAAAAAAAAAAAAAATACTTTATACAGTAGCAAAAGCTCTAATACGTGTATAATACCAAAGGACCTTGGAAGTACCAATTTTATTCATGAGGGTCAAAATTAAGAGTTTAATGATGGGAAATTGGATAAACTTCTCAAATCTGCTGTCAGTATTCTTTCAAAATTAAATTATATCAAGTTCACCAAATACCTAAATAATTTTGATTGTTTGACGATGAAATTTGGGGCTCTAAAAGTAATCTCACAATATGAGCCTTTTTGAACCCCATTTTATTGTAAACATGCATTTTGAACCCCATTTTATTGATGAAAAAATTAAGGAAAAGCTTTTAGTTTTCGTGTAATATTATTTTATTGAAAAATGTGTGATTGAAAAGAAAATGGAGAAAAATGGACATCAATCAAGGGCTAAGCTTCAGTGTTGTAATCATCCATTTGTACAATAAACCTTGAAATAGAGTGAAGATCTACCATAGAAGACTCCATCAAAGCAGACCTCAGCTCTGATGCAGGATTTCTATTTGGTACAGATTTATATTTTTTAAACTCATTTTCCTCCAAATTATTTTTCGATCATAGATTCTCATAATAAAATAATTTTGCACGCGAACCCATAAATTTTTCTTATTTTTAATCACAAGTTATTCAAGAAATCACTTTCGTAAAATTTATTCTAAAAAATCTTACATAATAGAGGCCTTAAAACTAGGTCCTAGCCTCCTAGATAAAAACTTCGTGTTCTTGGGATTTCTAGGGTCAATAATGTCAACGGTTTGGACAAGCCTCACATGAGCCCTGTGGTGCTTCCTAGCAGTGGGTCGGGTTCAGTTTCAAGTTTAATAAAATAATTATTTATTGATGGAAAATAATTAATGGAGCTTCAGAGGAATTCATTCTCAATTAAATGGAAGTTTAGTCAGAGGAATATAACTTCGATTGGTTTGTTCATGCTGCAAGATGAATCAAGCTATTGCTTTCATCGTTTCACCATCGCAACACTTATATTTGTTGGTCCTCCTAACCCAACCAAACAAAACCATAAAAGCTCTAAGACTGTTGTTTCTTACAGCAATATGCACAGCAGTCTCATCTCAAACGGTCAAGTCATTTATTGAGGATGGACATATGAGAAGAAAATGAATCAAAAGATCAATGTCCTTTTTTTTCCACTGCATAATGCAGAAGAGTGATCCCTTCCCTCCCAGGGACACAAATGAGCTCTGGATCATGCTTGACAAGTCGTCTCACAGTATTGGTGTGTCCCTTACCCAAAGCCAGGTGTAGTGGACTAGGACCACTAAGGTTTAATTTCTTCCCCGGCGAAGGCTTTAGCCTCGAGATTTCAAGAGCAAGGCCGGTATTACCTTCTGAAGCAGCAGTATGAAGAGGTGACTCCACAAATGTCATCTCACGGGGGACATTTAAGTACTCTGGATTTTCGTGTATTTTTTTGTACAAGGCAACGATATGTGGATCTTGAACAATGGTCATTCTGCAAATTCGAGATAGTTTAAAATTGAAAAGTGCTCTGAGTATTCAATTGGATCTGATGAGTTTCTTTACATATTTGACATCATTTATCAATTTACTTCTGTAAATGAAAATGTGATACCCATTTTCTTGTCACCTTTGACAGTATTAGAATTTGGGTGTGACTCAAATTTCTTGTTGAAAAAATTGTAAAATCCTAATTGAAGTGTACGTCAAGAGAAATTCAATTTGAAATGCTATTGGAGTCTTATTCAAGTTGAAATTCTATTTGGAAGCCCTATTGAAAGTTTGTCTTGGAAATGGACTTTGAGCTTAAAAAAACAAGTTGGAGCGGAACGGAAAAAAAAGGGAGGTGGGACCGCTGCGTCAACGCCCATGCCTATTTTTTTGCCCAGCACTGGATGCCGCAGCGCTGACCCAGGTGTCGAGGCGCTGAAGCACCACCGTGGTGCTTTTAATTCCGTTTTATTCAGAATTTTATGTCTTATNTCAATATCTTGAGAGGTTTTGAGAATATAGTATAGTTTAGCCTCGGTAATTACTAGAATTTCAGATCAATTGTATATTTCTCTATTATTGTTCATGGGTCAATAAAATTTCCTAATTTATCTACCATATTTCTTGTCTTTTATTATTCTTTTGCTTACGATCATATACTTCATATTTTGTCACACAACTTCGATATTTCAATCCTAAATTACAACAAGTAAATCGGAGAAATACATAATTCTTAACAAGTTGAATCATAACAATCTCGTCGGTCCTCAACAAGTGGTATCAAAGTCAGGTTCAGCAGTTCCGCAGAACGCAAGGTTTAATTTGTTTGAGGTTTTTGTTTTTGATGGCTTTCATGAAGTATGATATTTAGCTTTCGGATCGGAGCACCAAATTCACACTGTGACATGTTAATATGCGAGCAGTACTCGAACAGATGGATTTTGATGATGCATTGTTGGGAATTGACAAGATGCCTACAACTTTGACCACGGAGGAGAAAATACTGAATGATAAGAAGACGCTTTCTCATATTCATCTTAATCTCTCAAATAACATTTTTCAGGACATTTTAAAGGAGGTTTCAGCACCTGCTTTATGGTTGAAATTGGAGTAGTTGTGGGACCAAAAGTCTAACAAGCAAATTGCATTTGAAGCAGCAATTATACTCTCATCGCATGATAGCATATGGATCATTGGAAGATCACCAGCTGTATTTAAAGAGAAGTCGCTGATTTGGAAACTTTGGAAGTAAAGTATGATTAAAAAGATTTGGCCTTAATCATATTATGTTCGTTGCCCACTTCGTTTTCTTCATTTACATAAACGATCTTTTATAGTCGTGATACTCACACCGTAGAGGAGGTATATGATGTTTTGTATTGAACAATCTTGTATAGTCGTGATACTTCACCATAGAGGAGGTTTATGATGCTTTATTTTCAAAAGAGAAGATGAAGCTTCTGATTTCTGAGGCCAGAGATAGAGAATGCCTTGTTGCTCATGGTGGTTCTGGAAAGGGCAGATCGAATTCTAAGTTCAGTAATCAAATTTGTAACTTTTGCAAGAAGAGAGGGTACATTAAGAAGGATTGCTACAAATTGCAGAATAAAATAAGGCTGGCTGCAAATCGGAATAGTAAGCAATCAGATACATCAGGCGAAGCAAACCTCACGGAGAACAATGTAAATGAGGGAGATCTTTTGGCTATTTTTGACTTCGAGTTAAACCAGAAGATGATTGGATTCTGGATTTAGCATATGTGTTTCATATGTATCATAATAAAGACTTATTTACTACATATGAAGCAGTTTCCAAATGTTTCGTAGTTATAGGAAACAATGTACCTTGTCGGATTGCTAGACTTGGTAAGGTCAGATTGAAACTAATGGATGGGACAATTAGAACACTTGGCCAGGTTCGACATGTTCCAAATTTGAAAAAGACACTCATCTTATTATCTATCCTTGATTCAAAGGATTATAAGTTCTTTGGTGGAGATGGAGCATTGAAGGTTGCAAGGGTGCCCAAATTGTATTGGAGGGACATGAAATGTCTCAGTTATACATCTTGCAGTGTCGTGTAGAATCTAGAAGAGTCAATCAGCACAGTTTCAATACCGTGGTGGACATTCAGTTTGGTACAGTACCTTTAGGTTTTTGTATGTGGTCGGATTTGAAGAATACTGCTCAGTTGAGTTCAGAATTTATGAATAATGCCGCTTTGTCACCATCATTTACGATACCATTGTATTCAATTGCTAAGGACGGATTCGGTGGAGAAACGTATTTGGATGCTAATTTTGTTGGGCATGCTTTAAGCGTAGTAGAAGATGTACAATCTTGCAAGAGGCCTTATGTAAAAGCATTTAGGATTGATTCTGCTTCAAGGTGTGTTACATCCCTGGTTGGTAAATTTTAAAATATGATTTTTTGTGAATCTGAAGTAATTCTACAGAGTAGTGTTTGGACTCATTGGAAAATGTGGATTATTTTGTGTTTGTTAGAGAAGTCAGTTTTAGTTATTATTGAAGAGTTCAGTTTGTTCCTTGCAGACGAATTCTCTTCTCCAGGTGGAGAAAAATTTGGAGCTTTGTTCGTTGCAATGGAATTCGTGTCAAGATGGAGATTGTTAGAATTAGGATGTTACTCGAATTCCTTGTTGAAGTAATTGTAAAATTTTATTTGAAATACACGTCAAGAAGTATTCAGTTTGAAATGCTATTAGAATCTTATTCGAGTTGAAATTCTATTTAGAAGCCCTATTAGGAATTTGGCTTAGAAAATGACTTTGAAATGAAAAAAAACAACTTGGAGCGGAAAGAGAAAAAAAGAAAAAAAAGGAGGGGGGGGGGGGGGG